GGACAGATGGACGGACGGATCAACAAAATGGAGGTTGTTAGGGGTGGAGTGGATGGGATGGGATGGGAGCAGGGCAAGAAAGGTTTGGAAGGTGGAACAGAAGTGGAAGGTCAAGGGAAGAATACGATCTCTTTAACCAACAATAATACGTCAAATTTATGTAAAGAATTATTATTCAAAATCCATACCAGTACTAATGATAATAGTTATTTCCCACAAACAAACATACAACTAAATATATGTAGCTTTTGCCACTAATTTTTGGGGCCTTCAAGTCAGATTTCGGCTTTGTTAAAAGACATATTTTTAACCATATAATTATAAAACCGTTAGGAGTTTGGCAGAGGAACGGCCCGGCGAACCGGTGCCATTTATATAACCATGTGAATATTTTGCATCTAATGCGATGCCGAACCGTTACCGACTTAAAAGGTTTGACCTAATTAGTTCCAATAAATTCATAATACCTCATCAAAGTAGCATTTTCAAATAATCATTAATGACCTCGAAAAAAATTCCCCAAAATCAAGGTCCAGTGCTTTCTCAATGCCTCTGGTAGACTAGAAAATTCCATAAATATTTTTAGTAGAGCCACCGACATTAAAAACATCTCTAATTATTCGTTCGTTCACACCAAGTAAGGTTCGTGTGTCGGCTTTTTAAGCAATAGGATAAACCAATCACAAGCGAATAAGAGTTCTAAGGTACTTGCTGCTGTTCTGAAAGTGCAGTGCAATGGTATTTAAGTCAACGCACTAGCTGATAAAAGTGAGTAAGATACAAGGGAATAGTTTTTGGAGATAAAAAGCATAGTCAACTGCCAAAGGGTTTTACTTGTCATGTTTGGATATGTCGTGTAATCTAAAGTGATGCTGCTATCAATCAAATTGTTAAAGAAACGATTTCAGTTTTTCTATCAATTCAGACTTTTTCGCCGATTTGCCGAGTAATGATTTTCGTAATTTCTGATGCCTCTTCTTATTATTTACATTAAGAATTGTGAATTCATTTTAACTACTTGTCTAAAAAGAAATCGTTTAACAGTTTACTAATGGATGGACTTTGTGTAATTATCTTACATTATTTTTTGTAGCAGTGGGAAAATAACAACATGACGATGAAGATCACGATGGCTGTCGTCGTTATCGCTTCATTATTGGTGGCGCAGTGTATTACAGTGGCGTCAGTGTCACCTTCTACTGGGACTTGCTTTAAAAGATGTATCGAAAAGGTAATTTTACTACATCGATGATTAAGCTTAATTTTTTTAAAAACTATATTAATAATTAACGCCTTCTTCGTCTTGGATCAAATATATTTAACACTGTACTAGATGGAAAGGCAATTAATCTCTCTACTCGTGATTTCCCATAACTAGAACTTTATGTGAAAGTATTATCAATACTGCCTTTCAAAAAACACTTAAATAATGTAGTCGATCGAAAGGAACCGTCGAGTTTCAAATTTCGTTTAAGAATTTAAGAAATTTTTTTAATGAACCCGTGTATTGCTCTTTCTACGCGCCAAGCGAAATGTTTTGACTAGTTTGGTTATGGATATATGACATTGTTTTGCATATTTTGATACTCGGGCCACATCAAATTATCCCCCTGAAACAGACGAGGAACATCAACATAACTGATATTAATGACACGTTTAATGGTGTCAGGTGGAAAAGTTTCGTGATTGCCCCAGGGCAAATCATTGGGACCACCAAAGGATCTGTATATTAATAAGATTGACTCTTTTATATATCGCTTGAAAAAGAGGTTCCTGTTTTTTTTCAGCCGAGTGAAAAACAAAATGCGTGTGTGTTGTAATGGGTTTCCGATTATGAATTTAATATTATTTTTCATGCAAAGCTGATGTAATTATTTCACAGTTTTGGATTTATGCACCGACATTTTTGACATTTATCTTGTTTTGGTATATACTAAAGCTGCTATCTTCATCAATTTATGAAAATAAAAATAAAAAATATATCTCCAAAAATAATTCCTATTTGCTGTTTTGTTATTTTGTGTAAATACTGGTCGATAAAAAGTATCAATTATAAGCATGTAGTTCTATATTCTCTTCTGTGCTTCAGATTCCATGTAACGAGACATGTAAGAAGACTTGTCATCAGCTGTTCGCTCGTCAAGGTAGGCTGGGGATAAGTCAAGTTAATATCAAGTTCATCGAAGCTTAGACCTTAACAGATACTGGCGTAGATAACTTTCTTTAATGATATTGATCGCGTTGTCATTTGCATGTGTCAGTAGTAAGCATTTCCAAATTTAAGGAACTCGTGACCACCCATTTTGCTTCCAAAATGTAGCCTGTGTACGCCGCTTCCCACCCCTCCCCCCTACGGGGAAAAAACGGGGAGGGAGCGTCTGTGTGTTACCGTTCTTAATCGTGTTCCATGGTTACATTTGCATATATAATATCCGTCTTATACGCATGCGCATTCCAATCCATTTCGTGGAAGCACAATGGCGGACTTCAACGGTGCTATCTCTCGGGTTTGCGAAGTCTTTAAGATACCAACCTTGTTCCCGGAGCAAATCGAATTACCACTTTTTCGGGAACTCCATCATCTCCAAATAAACTTCTTTTTGATAAACGCTTTAATTGACTTGAAGAATTCTCTGATGGCTTTTCTTTCGCATGGATTTCAGATAAATCCGAATTTATCTGATGTAAATTTTCGATCGCTGCACGTCTCCTCTTCAACAATCGTAAACACTTCTGACAAATATTTGTTGCGTCAGTTGGTCAGTATTTACAGCAAATTCCAAAGATTTGAGCTCCTTATGAACTTGAAATTTCGATTCTCCAAATATTTGATTGAAATCGCTCTTTTGAGTTATACTACTAGAACACAAAACACATTTACTCATACCTAGAGATCACGGGGAAAACCGTCAAGACGGATCAACGCCGCGGCAAAATTTCATAACACGATATTTCAGCCAATTAGAAAGCTCGCACCGTAACAACCAATCAGATCGTTCCTCAACATCTTGAGGAACTCACGTGACCCTGGAACACGTTAAGAACGGTAACACACAGACGCGCTCCCTCCCCGTTTTTTCCCCGAAGGGGGGGGGAGGGGTGGGAAGCGGCTGTACACAGGCTACCAAAATGGCTACTAAAAAAAATATTACTTGCCACCTTAAAATCTCTTGAATTTGAATGTTGATAAATTTTGATGTTTTTCTTTTTATTATTATTTCTTCCTCATCAATTTTAATGTAAATCGTATGGAGAGGGGAATATCAATTGGGACGAAAGTCTTTTCTTCATAGCTAGTCACAAAATGTATATATCTCAAAGTTTTATAAAATGTATATGTTTATATCGCGACAAATAAACGAAACTAAACTAATACTGAACGAGGAAAAGAAAACGTATTCAAGACAAGGAAATGATTGGGGGGTGGGGGTTTAATGACGAAAAGAAAAATCCACAAACGAATGAAGGAAGGAGAGAAAGAAAAAGACCGACAGAGGGATAGAAAGACAGACAGACTAGTGACAGACATACAACTGACAAACAGACAGAGGCAAACCGTGCGAACTTACGAACGAATTGAACGAACTTACGAACGAACGAACTTACGAACGAACGAAC